GGGGGGGGGGGGGGATTGCACAAATTATGCTTCATTCACAGATTACCCATTTCTCCATCACTTGCTAAAAACTAGCAATTCATAAGTGTTACTAACGGCCTGAACTCCTTTACCAAATGCAGACTTCCTCTTCGTTGTCTAATCAAAATGTTAAAAAGAAAATAGATATTCCCACGAGCGCCTCTATAAAGTCAGCTGCCCTAACCATTTTCTTCAACATAACATATAGTGTAAGTCGTATAGTCATTTCCCATAACGTAGCAGGATGAGAGAGTTGGTGAAGAGGTAACCTTTAGACTCTGATTTCTGTTCATTCTTGGGGGTTTGCTTTGCCTCTTTCGCGTAGTAGTTCTCATAATCTACCAAAACAAAAACAGCAATAAGAAACCGGAAACATCTCAGAAATGGTACCAGCTACCGTCTCAAATCAATGGAACCATAGCTTTCAAGAGCACGTTAAATCCCTCAGTCGAAAAAACAAGTCATTTTAGGGTTTTGCGCCATACTCTTCTTCTTAGGGGCTTCACTAGAGAACAACCGACGAATTCTAGGGTTAGCAAGAACACCACTCAGATCACTGGTAATCAAGCCCTTCCGAGATGCCAAAGAAGCAAATTGCTGTCTCAGAAACACTAATCCGCCGTCCACCTGATTGACCGCCACCTCCAGACCCGGCAGCTGTTGCAGCTTCACCTCGTTCAGAATCGCCGATCTCACACCACCACTATACAACGAACCCTGGTTCACTAAAAAAGATGAAATTTAGGAAAACCCACAAAAATAACATGGCGAATTCGAGAACCAAATTAGCAAACAAAACGAACCCTAGAAGGAGAGGATCGCGCAGCTGAGCGAGCAAGCTTCGAGAAGATCATTACCACTAAATCAAGACGAACAAAAGGGTGCGCGTATAATACAAACAGAAGGAAATCGGAGATCTGATCAATCTAAACGCGGAAAACGTCGACGTTTGTTCCGGTTCTGCGGCGAAAAACAGATGATCAGAAAAAATCGTGCAGCAAAAAATCTTAGGAATTAGGGTTTTGAAACCGTGGATAGTATAAGAACAACGACATCAGAACGAAATTTATAGCGAGACCAGATCGAATTTTTCGGTTTTTATCGGTTTGTTGAGAAATGGGGGAAAAATTCAAGGTTTTTGAGCTGCTTGGAAGACAAGACACCAGGCGCGTGAAGACCTCCTGTAGATATTTTTGGATGTGGATAACATGAACCGGTTTTGTCTCCGGTAGACTGAAAACCATTTACTGGTTTGGCGAATCTCAAAGCGAACCAAATTTCGGAATCTGTATCCTGTAATATACTAATTTCGATTCATTGGGTCGGGTCGTAAATATGGATCGAAAATTGAGCCCAATTCAAAACCCATTTCATCCATATTTAACTGTAATTTGGGCCCTTGATTTTGCTTTTTTGTAGAACGAAAAATTGACTAGCGATGAATGATTTTTTTAATGAAAAGCCCGTACTTGACACAAAAAAGAAAAACAGGAAAGAAGCATATATACTTTAACTCTTAAATATATATTTCTTTTTTTTTTGTTTTGTATAAATATATTTGATTAATTATAACTTGACATAGAAAGATGTGGATTAATTTTGCATAAAATTGTAGCAGATTCCTTGAAAGTTTTCTCTGAGTAACCATCTCCATGAAATGTGTTACACGTTAATTGAAATCTTTGTACAGAATTGTTCGACCATCCTTTGTCCCCACGTGCAATATTATAAAATCATAGACATGTAATATACTAATATTGCATATGAATAGAATTGACGAGCTAAATTCATTGGCATGCCATTGTTCGGGATAATGACGTGACAGTAGACTTAAATTGCGGTACGTACAAATTAACATGAATACTATTGAAACTGTATTGGTCAAGGCTAGAAATTTCAGTTTCCTATATTGCGTAATAATCCAAACCAAACGCTTCGAAAGATCGAGAAGAATGAAAACGATGACACGTAAACTGGATTTTGGTTCTTCTCAAAATGCGTTTTCATGGAATGTCTCTATGCTACTTAAACGGATTGGTCGCGTTTCTTTTCAGTGTTACGTACGTGCCCTCTTTCTCCCTGTAATCGTTTTCATCATCTCAATTCCAATTTCCATCTTCAAATATTGAAGAATGATTTAGAGAGAGAGAGAGAGAGAGAGAGACGTTTGTTGTGACCAATCATGTGAAGACTTGGAGATGGTTATGGAGGGGACAAAAGGGATAAGAAAGGGTTGGTCCTTGTGTTAAATCTCTTTATAACCCTTGGTCTCATTCAGAAACTTTGCTCTCTCTTTTTTTTTTCTGAAATTAGGGATAAGAAAAAGTGGACCAGTGTGAAAACATTTTTTTTCCAAAGAATCTCTGAATCGGGACAGAGACGTGTCCGGGACAAAGAGGGTATGAAGATTCATTTCCTATATGGAACACCAGAGCGCCACGTATCCATGCAAAGCATGTGTTGGATGGGGCTTTTACGTGGAGTCGTCGCATGCACACCGAGAATGAGGACACGTGGTGAAGACCCAGATGGGTTCCGTGATCATTTGCTCTTCCGTACAGACAACTGTAAGGTCGTCCTCAATTCTGTCTGAAAGGAATCTTACACCGATCGGATATTGTAAATAGTAATTTGAAAGATTACAGTATGGCCTTTTTTCCCCCAAAGCTTTTAGACATGAAAACGATACTAAAATCTTAAATTGAATTTCGCGTCCTTGTTAAAACTGTTGACATTTCACCGTTCTCACCAATCACCACTAGAGATCACGGTTTTGAGCTGCTTTTCTTGTACATTAATGTCCAATGTCATTCGACTTCTGAACACATAGTGCTTAATTCAATTTCGATGTTGACTTTCCCATTCTGACCTTAGGTCGGTCCAAATATATCAGACCCTATCCTATCATTGAATTTTGAATTTCAAGGAACAGAAGGGAAGAAAAGGGTTGGAAAAAAGTTTCAAAAATTGGCAGAAAACAAAAAGATTTTCACTGAATTACGAATGTACAATGGAATTTTTTTCAGCAGATTTACACGAGATCAAGGCCATATTATAGGCAACATACAACATCAAAATATAAACAAAAAATTAAAAAAAAAACTCTCTACCGAACATTTTGTTGAGTCGCCCAGCATTTCACTCATTTAGGGCTTTGCCAAAAAAAAAACAAAACACAAATCTTTTTTTTTTTTTTTTGCAGGAAACGTGAATTGCGATTACCTAATTTGGATCAAATAGGGATTACCCTTATTGGTAAACCCCTCTTGGGCACAGGAAAAGGACCGTACTGTATTCCTTCTTCATCTCCCACCACTTCCCATCTGCGTGAGAGAGAGAAAAGTAACTTATTAACGTGTTGGGCCATGAAACATAAGTTACTACTTTGGCAAGCAGTCATTCACATGCGTACGAAACTGTTTGGGAGGAGTTATCATTTCGACAAAATATCTACTCACATGTTAAGGTATCCCAAATGAATAGAAACAAATTTTCATGATTGTCGTCGTCGCAGTTCTATTTCATACAGCTAGCTGGCGGATTCATCCATTTTATCATCATCACATGTTTATAATATTTCACATAATTTGAAATATATATATATATATATATAGCACGTCGTATTTTTCCTCGTTCATGAGACTAACCGTCTTATAGTATGAGAAATTATTCCTCTATTTATTTTTCGTATGTAAAATTTCATGTTTTACGCAAGTATAAAATTATATTGGATCAGTGGAGCAATTTTCAACCACAATTGCGAAAAGTGTTAAATAAATTATATAGATAAGGTTGAGAATTGAAGCAGAAGATATATAAATAAACGAAGAAATAGAAATTAAAAAAAAAGTTACCTAAAGGAGGTGGTGAGGTGATGGAGGAGGATAAGCATCTCAAGCTTTGCCAGCTCACTCCCGGGACACGAGTGCACTCCGTTCCCAAATGGCATGAACGTGTTCGGTCTTGGTGCCACCTGTCACATCCCAACACTTCACTTTCATCACACGCCCATGCATATACTATTATTACTACAACTACAAAACCCTAACAAAAAATATACACCTAATATTAGTTAAATGCATACATATCGATTTTAAATATGGTTTGATATGGATAAGAGCTCACGGAGTGGGGGAAAATACGTACATATGGCATTATCACGTTATGTAATAACGTAATCGTGTACGTATATATATATATATATATACGTACCTCGAATCTGGAGGGATCGAATTTTTCAGGGTCGGGGAAAAAATCGGCGGAGTGATGGATTCTTCGGAAGAGGGGAAGGACCTTCCATCCCTTTGGGATCAAGTAACCTTCGAACTCAACGTCTTCCACGGCTTCTCTAAACGTAAACGATAACACACTCGCTGCTCTTAGCGTCTCTTGTATCACCTACACATATCAAAATGGACTAATCTGTAATCAAATGTTGTTGTTTTTTTTTTTGGTAAATAACCATCGGATCGGTCAATGGCATGGTATGTACGTACCCTCGTGGTTAATGGCATATTTCTTGTGTCGTCCCACGAGATTCCTCGGTTTTCTTCCTTGATTTTGCGTCGGATGTCTGTTTGCTCCCTCTGGAGAAAAATGATATTGATTAAATGGTTAATTCGGAAAACATTGAAAACGTGATACTTCAAAAGTATGATAGCTATATCTAGCTCCCGTGTAAAGAAAGATCTCTCTCTCTCTCTCTCTCTCTCTCTATATATATATATATATATATATATATATATTATTGGATTAATTTTAGATGCTACAATCGCCAGAGCGTTTGTGTTTTCAACGAATCGTGAAAACAAAACGCAAAAAGGGAGGAAAGGCGCTTACGGAGACAGCGTCTAGCAAGTCGCGGTGGTCGTGTAAGTACTTGAGAAGCCACGTCAAGACAGAGGCAGTTGTGTCGTGGGCGGCGAAGATAACGCCGATTATGTTATCGGCGATCTGAGAATCGCTTAAGCGGTCGAGCTTTTGGTCCTTTGCACCAAGAAGAACTCCAAGCAACCCTCCTCTCCTTCCACTCTCTCTCCTCTTCTCTATTACTTTCCTCAACGCCTCGTTCAATTGCCTCCTCGCCTTCATATTCATTCAAACATCGTATATATATCGACATCATTACAATTTGTTTCACATTTCAATCGTGTAATCAACATGTAAATCTTTTTCCTCAAATGTTATATTTACTTTGAAAGAAAGGTATGTACCTTCATGGCAGAGTGAAAGGGGGTGCCAGGTAGGTCCAAGGGCATGGAATTATAACCTTTTTCCAAGCGGTGATACAGATTCTTTATTCCTTCGATTTCACTTGCTTCCTCTTTGTCCCCAAACACCGACATGACCGCCACGTCAAACGCATACTACGTCCACACACATTCACAGGATTCCATGAATTCCCATACAAAAGATTATTAACATGATCTCTCCATTAACTGCGACAATTTAACACAAACCCTTATTACTTAATAGATCCTATATATGGAGACAGAACCTTAGATGCCATAAATTCATCTGAAAATGAAAACCGCAAGATTTCAACATCTGTAATAACTTTCTGACACCGTTACCCACGTGGCAAACAGTGAAAATTAACACATGTGCACAAAAATAATGTCCCAAAAATACCCAAAAGTTTAAAAAAATAACAGAGGGAGAGAGAATGATTACCCTTTTCATGTGGTGAAGAGTGTTGATGGAGGAGGGTTGGTTCCTCCAAGAAGCGAGGAGGTTAAGGACAAGAAGCTCGATCTGAGAAACAGAGGGTCTCAAAGCAGAGGGCATGAACGAGGACTGGACAAACTTCTTCAGGCAAGAGTGGTAAGGACCTTGGTGGAAGAAGAGAGCTTCTGGTCCGATCATTCTCTCTTTGCTCGGTGGGTATGTGGGCTTGAACATGTCTGCTTTGCTCACCAACACCACTCTCGCCGCTTCTGGGCTGCTTATCATCACACATGGGCACCCCAATATGTGTGTCTTGAATATGTCCCCATACCTCTTTTGTCGGCTGGCGAAGAAGGAGTTGGGATTCTCGGTGTAGAGCCGGAGGGTTTCTCCGACGTAAGGCCAACCCATGGAGCCAGGAGGAAGCCTTCGTCGACTGTGTTTTATCGGGTGAAACCTCCACCGAAGCAGCAACAGCAACACCAACAACAACACTGCTATTATCGTATTCACTAACAAAGTAGAAGCAGAACCAAACCAATATGACGAGGAAGAAGAAAAAGAATGTGATGATGGTGATGATGATGATGATTGTGATGGTGATGGTGAAATTTGCATTGTTAGATAGTGGAGAGACATGTTTATATACATATGAAGAGTTATATGAGTTTTGCGTGTATATATATGTGTGTGTTTGCCTGTTAGGTATTCATTCTTGTTAGTGACTGCATGGTTTGGGAGTTTGAAGGGTTTATATAGATGGTTGAGGTACAATAAAAGAAAAAAAATGAAATACTTCATTCGTGGCCCTCCTTTTTCTTTTTCTTTAATGACAAATAATGTTGTTATTTTCTTTGTAAAAATAAATACAACTCTAATATTTTTGCATATATATATATATATTTACGCCAAAAAATAGAGTAACGAAAATAGGCGGTATACGGCAAACAAAGAAATAGACGGCATTTTTGTTTCGGTTATGTATATAAACTTTTTTTTTTCTAAAATATTGCTTTCACTAATATGGCTGCCTCCGGTTTTATAAATGACCAAATTCTCAAGTAATCTTTATTTAGATCAACCAAAACAATTTGTTTCGTGGAGGGAAACGACGAGGGCAAACTTCAAAACACATATGTCACTATATATATATATATCCAAATTTCTATCAATAATTAGATTTTATATAATTATTTTATAAATATGAATTTTTAAAAAATTATTTTATCATATTATTGACTACTGAATAAGTTTAAATACACCACACATTTTTTTTTAATAAAATCCATAGTTTTAAAAAATACAAATCTTAACACCACAAAAGTTGCAATCCAAATAAAAATCGCAGATATATACGACATCGAATATATTTGACTTGGAGGCCATTTTTAGTAGTTTTCAATAATAGAACTCTTAAATAAAATACGCATAGTTTGACGAAGGATCTCTAACTCCTATCAAATCAATATATAACAATATAATCAATTGTAATATACATATATATATATATATATATATATATAATATTTTTCGTTTATTAATTTGTGTAGTTGAATCGGCCCTTGGCAAACCCCACAATACACTTTAGTGACCACAAAAAACAAAGACCTTACAGGCTTCGTTACTATATATTAAGATAAAATGGGATCCATTGAAAATTTTTGTATGGTCGAGTTCTCTTGTCATCAGGGAGAAAAAAATCTATCAAAACAAAACAAAAAATACTGAATATTTATTTTTAATGTCCAAAATTTTATGGATTTTTTTTTCCTATTTATGTTTTCATGAAGATGAATCGTTTTCGATTCGATGAGACGTCCAGTTGTACGTATTTTCATTTTCCACAATTAATGGTGAATTTTAAAATATTGCAAACTCAATTTAGAAATTTTAAGAAAGGACAAATTGAGCATCTTGTATTACAGATAATTTTTCATATATTAATAATTAGTCTATTTGCGTATACATGTTTTTTTTTTTCTGGTAAAAAATACAGTAGATGACGATGAACTAAAAATCCAATGTTTTTGAAAAAACTATCTTAATTTCAAATAATTTTTATTAGTATAATTTTCTATAATTTTAAGCTAAAGCACCAAAGAATATTTAAAATTCATTTTCCTCTATTATATATATATATATATATATATATATATATATATAAAAGATTTTTAATCTCATGCTTGAGAATTTAATGCCAAATAACCGGGGATGAGAGGCACATCATGACTTCTCGTTTGAATACTAATCCAATTGAGATTTAAATGTTTGCATCATAAAAATGCAAAAATTTTTGAGAAAAATATGATAAATTTAGAATTTTTATTAAACTTTAACGATATAAACAGCCTATTCTACAATAATATTTGTGACCATCCTTTGTAAAAAAATATATTTGTGACCATATAAAATTCGATTTTTGGGTTATTAAAATTTATAGGTTAAAAGATAAATATTAAATCTAATCAAAATGGAAATTTACTAAATTTTAATAAAAAAAATAATTTGCATAAATATCCACTATTTTATATGAAAGTCCAAATTCTGAAAAGGAGAAATAAAAAACTTCTAAAATATAATAACATCAACTCTTCAAAAAATTAAAATTTTGCTTATTCAATAATCCAGATTGTTTAATAAGAAGGTAAAAAATTGAAGGAAAAAAAATAAAATTTTCAATTACCGACATAGTAGTACGTGCCAGATTAAAAAGAATAATAAATTCCATTATAAAAAAACGATTAAAAAAAAGGCGAGGAAATGAAAGAGAGTGTGTCACACGCGCAGTGGAGGAGCGTGGCGGCTGATGAGAGAAAAGAGGCCCCGTGACATCCTGAGAAAATCTACGTTAGTATGGCCCAGACGGCCCGGCCGGGATCTGGGGGGTCACCCACCGTTGCGCATGCGCCTCTCCTGCTCCTCCTTTTTCCTCAGTCCTTATTATTTATTTATTTATTCATTTATATATATATCTATATATATATATATCAGTCCTTGTGTAAGTATATTAAATGGTTAACCTTTGGAGTTTGGACACCTCCTCCTGTTACGCGATGACTCGTATCCACTATCCAACGCTTGCGTCAAAATATGTATATTTATTTTTATTTAATAATTTCATTTTTTTTAACAAATTTTAAAATAAAAATATTTTATTGGGGTTGAAAATTCCCAATATTTTATGGTTTACTGATAAGATCATCCGTTTAAGTGATACCCGAATGAGAAGGATATATCTAACGAGAGACTGTAGATTCTTAAAACAGTTTCTCAAAAGTTAATAATTTCATTATGAAATAAACTATTGTTTGGTGTGATTTTAATCCCAGGGTTTAACATATACAACATATATCATAATTTATGTAAGACCTAAATCATGTAAATATGTGACAAATTTTAGATTTACAGCTGATATCAAGGAATGAACTATCCAACCGATACTTAAGCTTGAGAACTTGTTCCGCAGTTATGTTCTGCTTTTCCTTCACCTCCAACCTCTGCATGAACTTCGTTTTCATGTTCGTCTCTTCTTCGGTCACTGAAGAAGGAAAAGCTCGAACCTTTGGAAGGACTCGACGGACTCTGTGGCCATGGCGTGTCTTGCGAAGTCGAAGGGCTTTGTGGGTGGTAATGTGTATTAGGCGATGCGTCAATCGATGTCGCATTCTGAGAATAATGACCACTCTTCCTAAACGTATGTGATTTCACGTCTCTCTCGTTGAAGATTCTAAGCAAAACCACCAACTTTCTCCATCTCGATGAATCATGAGGTTCGCCATTGGAGTGGTTCCATGCATGCTTGTGTTCATACAAAAACATGACCGCGAACACGGTAAGGGCATAAAAGGAAGCGACCCCCGCGATTAGAAACAGGCCCCAGAAGCTGCCGAGGCCCAAACGGTTCGACGAAAGGGAAGTGTTTGGATCAGTGCAATTGCTCTCTTTCTTGAACCATTTGCTCTCGATCTGTCTCATTTCTTCGCTTTCAGTCACCTTCAAGATTGCCCTCGAGACGTCATCTGTCAAAGGTGAGCCCTTGGGAAACACCTACGGATCATGAAAACAGAAGCAGATGGATCAAAAAACAACGTCGGTGTTCCAACATTGTCACAAACTTGTGTCGTTTTTCATCTAAAATCGCCATGCATACGTAAGCGTAAATGGGAGATCTTTTCGTAATTAGTGAAAAAGGAAAGGAGAGAACTCACAAAGCCAAAGCCAGCAGTCTTGAAGGATGGTTCAACCATTGTGTATTTTGAGCAGTAACGTGAAAGGAGAACCTTCAGGTAGGGAACTTCGTCGAACGCTGCTGCTATACCGTCTTTCGACGTTAAAAGCTCGTCCAGCTGATCCACAGAGTCGTAAACTCTGAGCTTTGATTCGTCAAAGCCGAGATTCTTCAAGACCCCCAGCAGGAAGGTGCCTCTCTGGTACCCAACGTGGTCTCCATTATTGATCAGTTGGTTTACGTTTGTGACCGTTGGTTGGAGTTGTTGCACTGTGAGAAGCGAAGTCAAGCTTGCCGTGTAGCTTTGAGTGAGCACTAAAACCACGAAGCACCACACGATCACCACGAACCTCGCTAAATTGCTCACCACTCTCTCCTCTGCCATGAAACATGGCGTGAAATGACGATGTTTAATGGTTAAATACTGGATATAATAGCAGAGAAAGATGAACTTACTGTGGGCGAAAACCATGGTGGAGAAGGAGAACCAGAAGCTGGTTCCGATCTGATGCAGAGGCGGTCCACGGAAATCCTCGTTGACTCTGTGTTCAAGAACCCAGACAGCGAATCCGACGAAGATGAAGAAACATGCAGTTGTAACCCAAAGATCCAAGCTCCAAGGTCTGAGGAACACCCATGTGTTCTTGTCCCTGTTATTCCTCAGAGGCACTAACATAGACACTCCGGATTCAGTGTACGGCAATGTGAAGTCTACGTACTCCGTCCTGTTCGCTATTATTGTAACATCTCCAACTACCGCGTCGAAACTCTGTCTCAAGTTAAATTAAAAGCCAACACATTTAGGACAAATGTGATTCAGGAGAATGGAAAATGTCTGAAAACATATCGATGAGACAATAAAAAGCATTTCAAGCATAGTAGGGGAATGAGTAACTGACCCCTAGATAAACTTGGTAGACCAGATCGTTGTAGTTCTCGTCTGGAGTTTCGAAAGAACCGTAGTCAGGAGTGACTGCATAAGGCAATTGTCTAAGAACCGCTTCGAAAATATCTTTGGAGTAACCGGTCACAATAATGGTCGAGTTCGTGCTCAGATCTTTCCTCACCTTCACGAATTCCTCGAAACCTCTCTTCACCGGAACTCCAACACGTAATCTCCTCCCGTTTGTCGGAGCCTCCCACCCTCTCGGGACAGATATCGACCCACCCGGCCATATCACTGGCGCTAGCCTCTCCTTTGACTTCGTATACCGTTCCATTGTTCTGTTCCTTTGGTCCAGTTTCTTCACGAGCCCTTTGTCGAGTGTCCAGTATCCAATCACTCTCTCACCATTGCCGTTGAGATTGATGATCTCAAACGTTGAAGACTGCAGTTGCCCGTCGAGTATATCAAATTTCCCTGTTAAGCCCTTTAACCTGATGTTTGAGAGAGAGTGCAAAAGCTTTGGACCATAGCGAGAGACTCCTACGGCTCCAAGATCAGTAACATTCACCATTGCCGTTGAGATTGATGAATATTCGAGTCTTGGGTATCCGAGTTTCACAAAAACGAAAACGAGATAGTGTTTTTTCAAAATCCATAAAGACGAAGACGAAACTCGAATAACCCAAAAAATCAGGAGTCAGGATACCCTACATGTACTCAACCCTAATTCAATGTCACCGGTCATACAAGGGCAAGGGGGACAGTTTGAATTAGTCAACAAAACAAATAACAATCTTGAATTAATTGAGTAAAAAAAACGTTTCGAATGATTACGATTTTTTATTTTATTTTTAAATTGAATTGAATTGAATTAACATTGTTCATGTTTGCACCAATCAAACATTTTAAAACTTGGGTAGCAACCGAATTATCCCATGGTTCTCTAAAATGTCCAAAGAATTTTTTTTCACACACATATGTATAATTGTATATTTCTAAACGAATTTAATACATTGTCCCGGACAGGGAAAAAACTGAAATTAATTTGGCTTCTAGTAATCTCCACAGCTTTCACAAAAAATTCAACCACACAAGAGGGAGTCTGAATAGTCAACAAAGCGATAAATCTGTTTCATTCCATAACAAAGAACAAATTAAACCCTAGCATTGGATATTTCTTTTCAAATTTCTAAAGAATTGTTTGCTTCTAGTAAAACTGAATCGAATTCTAAATCTGATGGATCATAAAGGCACTAAGCCAAGAATCATCCTCGCATGCATAGAATTCAGACATTTGGTAACGTAGAAGGAACCGGGGGAGAGAGAGGGAGGGAGGGAACGAACCAGCAGCTGAGGCGGCGACAGCGTCTTTGTCGGAGTCTCTGAATTGAAGAGCAAGCCTAGTGGAGTAATTAGCATGATTTGCGTAAAAATCGGACAGAGATATGTTAATGGAAGCGAGACAGATCTTGGAGAAAGCAGTTTGGAGATCAAGAACCACTCCCACTTTCACTTGCGTCTTAGAATCCTGTCCAAACCCAACTCCAATCAGCATGAAACACCAAACGAGAACAGCCAAAGAATCAAACAAGGATTTGGGTTTGGTTGTTGGGTTCAAGATCTTCATCTCCTAGGGTTTGGGAACTCTCTCTGTACAAAAGAGCATCCAATGAAGACGCCCTAGGTATCCCTTTTAAGGATACAGACAGAGGGAGAAAACCCTTTTGAACGAGTCATAGAGAGAAAGGGAACGTACGTAGACGAAACTTCTTCGAAATTTACACATTTGCCGCAAAACTCTTGTCCCACATGGATAAGCTCACATTAACCCATCAATTTCGGGATTTTCCCCGAACGGAAGAACGTGAATTCCTTTTCCGTTCCGAAGAAAAAAGAATCGTCCAAAAACAATATACACGTTTTGGCGAATATACCCCTCGTTTTGTTTTGAAACTTCCGCGTATTGGTGGCGGTTGGATATATATTTACGACGAGACCATGAGTAACTTTTTTTTTTTTTTTTTACGACGGGAAACTTATCCTACAATCCTTCGGATCGAACACCGGACACCGCAACGCCTCTCAACCCATGGGCCGGACGAGAACGACATCAGGACATCATCGCAGAACTGAGAAAATCCACCGCCCTACGCAATAGTCGGCAAACCACGCAGAACAAGTAAACCAACCTCGTAAAGCTGACCGGCTCAAGGGGAGTTTTCATATCTGGGTTTCGAACCCACAACCTCTTGGTAGAGAGGAGTTGTCACTAAACACTAGGGTACTAAACACTAGGGTGGGAACTCCCCCGACCATGAATAACTTTGACCCGTACAGCATGAGATGACAGAGCTTCTATCTTGTCCTTAAAAAAAAAATTATAGGATTTCTAGTTTTCTATATTGACGTGTCTATTCTGCATGGCATGTCATGATATATGGAGCTATCACACTATTGTTTAAGGAAAACATTGCTTTTCAAATAATGCCAAATCTTATGAATTATGCAAACTCCTACCAAATTATACCAATATATCTTTGGTTTTATCGTCGTAGTGATGAAGGTGACTAGAAACCTATAAAAGATTGAAATTAGATTCCTATGCTGATCTCGTTGATCAACACATAATATAATGAATGATTAAAAAATGACTAGGAATCTATAAAACATAAAAGAAATTAACGGTGGTGACATGATGATGGCGACCACAAATTTCGGTCTCATTAGTTACAAGCGAAAAAGGGAAAATTTAAAAAATAAATAAATTAGTGGTGAACAATGCGAAATATTTTTAAAATATGAGATAAATAAATATTGTTTTAAATATTAATTTTTAAAATTCTTACATCTAGCAAAGGGACAACTATATGTATATATAAAAAACAAAAGGTTAATATACCAAAGAACACGGACAGAGTAACGAGGCTATAAATAATAATTATTAACAAACATAAATGAAACATAAAATCGTGGTTAAATATCTAGTCTGGATCAAAATTAATTTTGTTTTTAAAAATTATTTTTTAGAATAACAATGGATAAAACTTAATTGTTTGCATTAATTCTAGAATTTTTAGAGATGATTACTTATATAGACTATTGAATAAATAAATCAATATAAACCGATACAAGATATTAAAAACTCGTATTTATGAGTTATTTTAAATTAACAAAAATTATCCATTATCATTAAATTAAATTAATTTCATATTTACTAAAACATTATCTATTTATAATTTCAAATTATTTATTTTTAATAAAGGGTAATAATTATCTGAAGCATTATTTTATTTTTATTTTTATTTTTATATCTGAATATAAATAATTGTGTATATATATAAATTTAAAATATTTTAATATTTTATTGTAAAATTATTATTTATCTTTGTTCAATTGTATATTTATTTGATTACGAATATTTATATTATTTTAAACTCCTAATCCCCAGGATTGTGCTCTGCAATTCCGTCCCTCACTCCTCTGTCTTTCGTCTTCAGGTTCAAGCTTTCCATGATCTCCATCTTCGTGTTGGTCCCTCGACACTAGCGAGGATCTCCTTCGCTCGCTGAAGAAAGAAAAGTTCGAACCTTTGGAAGGGCTTGACGGACTCTGTGTCCATGGCGTGTTCCGTGAAGTCGAAGGGCTTGGGGGGCAATGCGTATTCGGCGACCCATTGATCGAGATCACGTTCTGAACATTATCATTCTTCCTGAAGGTATGCGAGTTCATGTCTTTTTGATCGAAGATTCTAACCAGAACCGCCCATTTTCTCCACATTGAATGTTCGGGCTCGTCATTGGATTGGATCAGTGTATGCCTCTGTTCGAACAAGAACATCGCCAAGAATACGAGAAGGGCTAAAACGGAGGCGACCCCTACGATTAGAAAGAGGCCCCAGAAGCTGCTGAGACTCAGCGAGTTCGACGAAAGCGCAGTGTTTGGATCGGAGCAATTATTCTGTCTGTTGAACCATTTCTCCTCGATCTGTCGCATTTCTTCGCCTTCATTCACGTCGAGAATCGCTTTCGAGACATCTCCGGTCAGAGGCGAGCCCTTCGGGAACACCTGATCGGATCATGAAACAAGAGGCAGATGATCATTACGTCAAGTACATCAGTTCCGGATTCGCTGACGTAATTAAACAGCAACTTTGTTTTTCTATCGTTGAGAGAAAGAAAAGGGAAGAACTTACAAAGCCAAAGCCAGCGGTCTTGAAGGACGGTTCAACCATTGTGTATTTGGTGCAGTACTGCGAGCGAATAATCTTCAAGTAGGGCACTTCATTGAACAGTGCCGCGATTCTGCCTTTGGAGAAGAGCTCGTCCACTTCATCGGGCGAGTCCAAAGGTCTGAGCTTTGACTCGTCAAAGCCGAGATTCTTCAAGATCCCCAACAAGAAGCTGCCTTTTTGGTACCCAACGTAGTCACCGTTCTTGATTAGTTGGTTTACGTTCGTGACCGTTGGTTGGAGTTTTTGCACTGTGAGAAGCGAAGTCAAGCTTGCCGTGTAGCTTTGAGTGAGTACTAACACCACGAAGCACCACAGGATCACCACGAACCTCGCTAAATTGTTCACCACTCTCTCCTCTGTCATGAAACACGGCGTGAAATGACGATGCTTGATGGTTAAATACTGGATATATATAATAGAAGAGAAAGATGAACTTACTGTGGGCGAAAACCATGGTGGAGAAGGAGAACCAGAAGCTGGTTCCGATCTGATGCAGAGGCGGTCCACGGAAGTCCTCGTTGACTCTGTGTTCAAGAACCCAGACAACGAATCCGATGAAGATGAAGAAACATGCAGTTGTAACCCAAAGATCCAAGCTCCATGGTTTGAGGAACACCCACGTGTTCTTGTCTCGGATGTTCCTCAGAGGCACTAACATAGCCACCCCGGATTCAGTGTACGGCAATGTGAAGTCTACGTACTTCGTCCTGTCTGCTGCTATGGTTATATCTCCAACTGCCGCGTCGAAATTCTGTCTCAGGTAAGAAATCCAGAGCATTCAGAGAAAATTTTGCATAACATTTTGATTTGGACGATTATAAGAATTTCGAGGCGTGGAGGGAGAAAGGAGTGACTGACCCCAAGATAAACTTGGTAGACAAAATCGCCGTAGCCATTGTATGGAGTATCGAACGGAATGTATTCAGGAATGATTGCGTAAGGCAGTCGTCTAAGAACGGCTTCGAACACATCTTTGGAGTAACCACTCACGATTGGCGAATTCGTTCTTGGATCATAAGTCACCTTCATGAATTCCTTGAAATCTCTCTTAATCGGAACTCCGACACGTAATCTCTTCCTGTTTGTCGGAATCTCCCATCCTCTTGGAACAGATATCGACCCACCTGGCCATGTCACGGTCGCCAGGCTCTCGTTTGCTGTCGTATATCGTTCCTTTGTTCTGTTCCTTTGGTCCAATTCCTTCATGAGCCCTTTGTCAGGTGTCCAGAATCCGATCACTCTCATCACTTTGTCGCTAAGGTTGATGATCTCAAATGTTAGATGCCGTAGTTCCCCGTTGCTCAAATCAAATTCCCCACTTAAACCCTTAAATCTTGTATCTGAAAGATAGCGCATAAGCGTCGGACTGTAGCGAGAGACTCCAAATACTCCATGATCGGTGCCATTCCACGAGATGCTCGCGTTGCCGAACCCTAAGTTCATTACACTGGTTTTCTCCACCGCCATGGCTAAGGCAGTGATGGAATCATACGCCCATAACGCGAAAACATTCAGTTCTGCATCTACAGATTCCGGATGATCTTTCTGAAATTTGTTCTTCCATCTGAGTCTGAAATCCTCAAGCTCTTTTGATTTCGGGACACGGGTCCTGACACCAAGCACACCTTCCATGTTTTCGAGGTTCTTAGGATCATTCAGTCTCATCAGATGCGTCATTGCGTCGGTCAGTATCCATACGTAACCATCCTCCATCATTCCAATCTCTTTGGCTTTGGCAAAAAAGCGAAACCCTAGACTCGGCAACATGTGAACGACGAAAACCCTAGTCTGCATGGTCATCAGCTTGTAAAGCTCCCCAAGAATAGCATCACCGGGTGCATCTGGAGAGATCACGCTTCTGTAAGGAACACGAGCATTGACGTCTTGCAATGCATCGACTAAGGAAGGCACGATTCCTTCTCCGAACTCGTTTTCCACGTAAACAGCGACGACGTTTCTCCAACCGAAGGATTTGACGAGAGCGGCAATGGCGCCGACCTGGGAAGAGTCACTTAGAGTGGCTCTGACGAAGTAAGGACTTCGAATCGATGCGAGGGAAGGGCTCGTCGCCGAGAAAGTGACGGTGGGCACTTGAGATTTGTTGGTGAGTCTGATCATGAAATCTGCTTGAGTCGAGCTCTGAGGTCCGACAATGGCGATCACTTGCTCCTTCTTGATTAGGTCTGAGGCTGCTTGCACCACAAGCAAACACAAGCCCGATTGTCAGTCCTTTTTTAGTGTATATAATAAGTTGAAATGATTAAATCTAATTGAACAAAAGATGATAAAATTGGAAAAATAAATATTTAATTTATTTTTTAAAAATATATATCATCTTCGGACCAGGCAAAAAGAATTGAATTAATTTGGCCTCTGGTACTCAATTTCAACCCCACAAGAGGGTTCTGAATAGTCAGCAACGTGATATATCTGTCTCGTTTCATTAAACAAAAATAAACAAATTAAACCCCAATCATTCCATTTCTTAGCATATTTCAAAAGAATTATTTGCTTCTAATAATCATCGAATTCCAAAGATAATGGATTATAAGGCACTATATAATAATTATGTAAAGTGGTTTAATTATCATTAACAACATTAAGATATTTAACCTAATCATAGTTTCATGATATTACAAATATACCCTCCATACACTAAGCCAAGGAATCATCAGTCATGACATCAATAGGCGAAAGAAATGCATCCAAAGGAATTATGCAAATTGCATGTTGGCAGCAATTACAACTCAGCGTGACATATTAGAAGGTAATCAGAGAGATAGAGAGAAGGAACCAGCAGCGGCGGCGGCAACAACGTCTCTGTCGGAATCTCTGAGATGAAGAGCAAGCCTGGTGGAGTAATTAGCGTGATTTGCATAAAAATCAGACAGAGATATGTTGATGGAAGTGAGACAGATCTTGGAGAAAGTGGTTTGGAGATCAAGAACCACTCCCACTTTCACCTCTGTCTTGGAATCCTGTCCGAACCCAACTCCAATCAGCATCAAACACCAAACGAGAACAGCCAAAGAATCAAACAAGGATTTGTGTTTGGTTGTTGGGTTCAAGATCTTCATCTTCTAGGGTTTGGATAACTCTCTGTGTACAAAAGAGCATGCAAAGAAGATGCCTTGACTTCCCTCTTAAACATACAGACAGAGGAGAAGAAAACCCATTTGAACGAGTCATCAGGAGAGAGAGAGAGAGAGAGAGGTGGTTGATGATGGTGCCAAGAGTCTAGTCATATTATAATATAATGCATCCCCTTATTCTATTGACCAAATCAATTAAAGCTTTTCCTTCTAATGACTAAAATATAATCAACAAAATCATTATAATAAAAAAGTCAAATGGTATACATATTATGAAAACCACCAATAATTAAGCCATACGCTATTAGTCGCAAGTATTTTAATGTAAATACTTTAACAGTACATGTGAAAATATTCTTGGATATCAACACAAAGAATATATCAAATGTAGAATATATCTGAATCTATGGTTGAGACGAAAATGGCAAATTATAAATAGAGGACTTCTAGAATAGAATGTTAAAAAAATTCTTCTAGCAAATGGGCGCACATAAATTTTTGTACGTTATCACTGCTATCTATCTAGTTATAATAATAGTTTGTATTATTTCCTAAATCGTCCAAAAAAATTAAAAAAAATGCACTTCATGATATCTAAATAATTATCTGGCATTTATACTTTATTATATTTGTATATTAGGGCATATGTAATCTTAACCACAATTATTTATATTAAACAAAAATTATATCATATTATGTTAGAGAATTTCTAACATTAGTAACTCGAGAGATAGGTAGAATTGATTCAATTGAATATTTGGTTTCTAGATTTTGAAGGTTTAACTTGTCAATTTGGCTAGGTAGAAATTTGACCACTTTTTTGTTTTGTTAATTAAATGTGATGTACACCTAACTAGTGCTCTAATTTAGGATATATTCGTAGTAATTCGACCGTTTTAATTACACGTAATCCAAAGGAGTTTAAATTTGCAAATGGGTGTACGTTAGATTTGGTTTCGTTTGCCTGTCCAAAGGGTCTTCACGCGTACATTAAACGGTTTCTTCGTCTCCATTGACCGCAATCGAACCATTTCTCACGTGAGAATCGACTAAATCACGTCACGTTTCTGTGTCGGCTTTCAACTTTCATGCCCGCAAAGCCCAGTTTCCTTCAGGCCCACAAAGCCTGATTTCATGATCGGCTATTTATTCAACTCATGTCATACTATGCCGAACCAAACCGAAACTGTTTTTATACGTATGTATTGGTCGTGGAACATTCTTCGCAAAGAGAGGATTCGAAGTGGGGAGAAAAAAAAAAGGGGCGGAAACAAGGTTGGATAATTCGGATTGCAAATGGGCCTAGGTAAAGATTCCGGCCCAATTACAAAACGTTGCGTTTGAAGAAGTTTCCCGCGCTCAGCTTTAATGATCTCACGTGGGGCACGTATACAGTTATGACTCAACAAAATCAGGACACGTGGAATATGTCGCGTCCTACGTGTCAGATTCTAGACCGCAAGTACATAAACACCTACCAACTTCCAGAACAAGCTACATAAGTTAAAATATATATATAATCAAATATACGGAACCCGATAAATAAAAATTACTCGAATTATCACTTTTATTAATTATATATAAACCCCATTCGTCTTACAGACAGCCATTAACACAAGCGAAAGAGAGAGAATGGATAAGGAGTCGAAGTACTACGGCAGCGACACCGGGGTCGTGCCGGAGGATCACGACGGAGACGGTGGCGGAGGATGCATGACGCCGACGAGAGAGGACTGCAGGATTCCGGCAGAGCCATTGTGCCCGCCGCCGATGAGAAGGAAGAGGCCGTTGTCGTGTGGGAAGAGGATGCCGGAGTCGCCGCAGAACAGTTTTTTCCGGCCACCGGACCTCGATATGTTCTTCACCTCCGCCGCCGCCGCCGCCGCCGTTGATAGGCAAACAAGCTGCGCTTAGATGATCACTAAAGTTGTTAGTTTAACTTAAGTTTCAGTTAATCATATTTGTGTTTTGATTGTCGTCTTGGATCGGCTAGACGGGTGTGAATAGGGTCGTATATTAATGTGTATTTTGCACTTACGGAAATTTTGGGTTTGATATGATATGATATTTCAATCTTGTAATATTTTTTTTGTCAATGCGGAATGGATGAATGAGAGGTAAACAAATCTTCATACGATCATTTTTTCACAGTAAATGGGCTTGGGCTTGGGCTTGGGCTTAGAATTGGGCTTGGTCTTGGGCTTGAGCTTGGAATTGGGCTTGGTCTTGGGCTTGAGCTTGGAATTGGGCTTGGGCTTTTAGAAAGGATCCACGGTGTCAGGCTCCGAGACCAGATCGGGCCATGTAAGAAAGAACGCATGGTGGTGCCCACCAGACAACCTGACCCGACCATGTCCGCTCCCTCTAACTCACACGTGTTTTTTTTTTTTGTGGTATGTTAATAATAAATTAAATTGGGTAGGCAATTTTTTTTTCGTTTCTAGATGTTCTTAGTTAGTGGGTCAGTCTGTGTCTATGATATGATTAAATCCAATTTTCTATATTCGTTATGGTGAAATCACCATAAATTACAATAATCATAATGAATGTATTTACCTGATCCGAAGAGTAAAAGACTCTAAATGAAATTCCTAAATCGCCTCCTAATCTCACTCCTCGCTATGTTAAATCTGGAAGCATAAAAAATTTCCGAATTTAAATGATAATTCATACATCTGAAAAATCAGACTAACCTAAATCATGGTTAGAAAGCAAGAAATGAGAAATAAATAATTGCCAGACTTTTAGCGTATCATAACGTAGCATGTGTCTCGAGTTTGACCCTATAAAAATATCCCACATGGGTCAAAGAATCTTCACCCCTAAATAAAAATAGTTTTCGTATTATTGTTCTTTTGGAAATTTAAGGATACAGTCGCCTGGATTATTGTATCAAATCTTTTCCCAATTTATTGAGTTTTGAGACCTGTCTAATCAAAGCTAATTACACAACGGTCCATGCATCCGTATACAAAAAAAAAATTGTCTAGTGTAGTTAATTTTCTTGCATTTGCCTTCAATCAAATATAAATAAATGTAAAGAAAAAAGATAACCAAGCTCGTGGTGCTATTTGACACTTCAATATATATTAGAGGGAACATGTCTTCTCTTGGTCACATTCATATCTTTATATATCACACACACAACACCAATCTCTCCCCCTCACAATATCTCACAACCAAACAAAACTAAAATTCGATCCATTATTCAAAATTAAAATGCATCACCATGATATTAGGGGTGGGCGTTTTAACCCGTAATCCGGGGGTTTGGAGGTATCCGGCTTAAGAAGTACCCGAATAAAGGGTACCCGAATATTAACGATGATGAGATCGAACATTAATAAGACTAAGTTTTCGACCCCCGAGTCCGAGTGCGGGTTTAATTATTTTACAAAGGGTACCCGGAAGTACCCGGTATATTTGTTAAAAATCTAAAATATACTTTATATCTATAATATTTTTGTCTAAATTATTCTTATTATTTATTAAAATATTTTTATTTTAGTTCAATTTTTTTATGTTATAAACCTTTCTATACAAAAATTTCATCATTCCAAATCTCATTTTATATAACCGAATCAACCATTCATCTCTCTCTCAAAATTTTACTCATCTCTCTTCATCGTGAATTTTTCTCTTTATACTTTGACCTCTCTCATTTGTATTTTCTATATCTATCATTTTATAGTTCAAAATTTTATAAATCGTATGGGTCCGGGTATCCGTGAGTACAACACCGAGAATCTCATTAAACCCGAGCTACAAGTACCCGGATTTTATGAAGCCAAGATTGAGATAATATTTTTGTAAAACCCGTGGTAATGAAGACGAGATAGGATTTTCTACCTTTGCAAAGCCAGAGTTCAGATGGGAATTCTCATTCGAAAAACTCAGAAACTCCATAGACAGACAGAAGAATTCAACAATTTGTTCGATCCCCTTCAGTTACCAAGACTACGAGTATAGATACGTTACGTAGGGAGGTAAATAGATTTATCTGTGAGATCTTGTAAAAGAAAAAGTTTGAGGGAAGAAGACGCAATCGGTAGAGGGACCATAACCCTGATGGTTTCTACGATGCAAGTCGATATCTTTTCTGATTCCAGTCCCCTAATCGATTCGAAATCCAGTGAGTAAGAACCCCACATAAACCCTAATTTGTTTCCAACCGAAATCTCGAACTCAATTGGTGTACCGGTCAATCTTACGGCGAGATTACACGCCACAACCCAAATCTCAGGGAGATCCAAAAAGCTCGCAAAATCAGAAAGAACATGCAGTTCGCGACAAATGGAAACTTCAAAGTTCAAAGTTAAACCTTTGCAAACGGAAAAAAAAAAAGAAGCCATGACCTCAAACAAACAGGCCGAAGCTCAGGCCCAAATAAGAAATATAATGGGCCGTGAAACCCATATATAATGGGCAAAACATTAGAATTAAGTTTTAAAAAAATTACAAGGAATGACTTCGAAGATCAAATTCAGTTTGAATATAATTTGAATACGAGTTTTTATATAAATTCGATCACAGTAATAATAAAATAAAATGAAGATACAGTTTCATTTCTCATTAGGAAATATTTATTGTGAGGTGATACAGACATACTTTATGTTTCACAACAAAAATTGTTTTTTTTATGGTAAGAAGGAAATAAATGGGAGAGATATTGTATGAGAATATTATATACATGGAACGTGTGTTCCATACACATGAAGAGCATGGGATTTTAATTGCAAGTTGAACCATATTTAACTATTAAAATTTGGTAAAATTCAATGAAAAAACTTGGTCATCTTCATCATCAGCACATCCAGGAAAAGACGTGGGAGGCCTGCAATGTCCTCCTCCTCCTCAGTATCATCATCAACAATTAAACAAAACCAAGAATACCGCAAATGGGTCTTATACAAAACTCTCCATTGACGTTTTCAGAAGCTCCAAAGGCTCTATAAAACTCGACGGTCCATCATCTTCATCTCCATCTCCATCTCCAAGCTTGTTCTTACCATTGTTGGTAGTAATCTGAGCCGAGAGAGAAGGGGAGACGATTAATATGGGTATCAAGAATCTCATTGCAGTTGTGGTTCTTATGAGCGTTCTTGGAATTTCGGTTTCCAAGCCACTGGGTCTGCGCCTCGACTACTACCGCTCCAAGTGCCCAGACGCAGAGGCCATCGTCCAACGAGTGACTTACCAGTATGTTTCTCGGCAACCGAGCCTTGCAGCTTCTCTTCTCAGGATGCATTTCCATCACCAAAATTTTGAAGATGGTATCGAATAGAGCATGCCTAAAATATACCATTTATCGTATATTATAGTATTTTTAACATTTCTTCTATTTTTTTATGTTAGCAATCCACGTCATCAAATCAATTTTTATAGAATAAAACAAAAGGCAATGTGAAGAAAAATCAGAATTTGTACCTAGATTATAACAAAAAAAAAATCCGTTATAAGCCACAAAAAATAGTATTAAAATTTTGGGTGTAATAATGCAGAAAATTTAAAAAAAAATGGCGTATTTTAGAAGTTTCTTTAATTTGATAAAATGTTATTTTATGATCTTTTAAATCGAGATTACTTTGTTTTAAAAAAAATCCGTTTATTATCAAAAGGACGTGTGACCATTTATTTAAAATAAGTGATTCCAGTTAATTATATTCGATTAAGGACAAACTTCCAATCAATATATATATATATATATATATATATATATTTGAATATAAAAATAATTCACCAAAACAACTCATTTGGTCGTTTTTTTTCCAATATGGTTTGCAGAAGATGCCTCAGCAGACGCATGACGCGGAGTTTGCTTTTACATATTCACAAGACGTCCCTTTCATAACTTAAACACATAAATGATTGATTCACGTAACTTAAAATAAAAAGTGGAACAAGGAAACTCGCTAGTTCCTAACTCACGACGACCTAATATTATCATCTAATTAAAATAAAATAGTCGAATATTTATCATTCATGTGGATGTAAAACAGGTTGGCCCGGTCCAACCGACTCGTTTCCATCTGAAAATATTTTAGCTCTGTCCGGTCTAAACTGTTTTTTAGATCAATTCAACCTAAACGAACCGATCCGCTAGCCAAACGAGCCGATCCGAGTTATAATTTTAAAAAATATTTTAATATAATAAAATTTTAAAATTTTAAACAAAACAAATTAAATATCTGATAAAAATACAATTTTTATAGAAAAATATTAAAAATTAAAAAAAAAATGTATGTGAGCGGATCCGCGGACTCACCGAATTGGCTCACCACAAGCCCAATTCGTGGCGAACTGACTTGTTTGACCCGTTTTTTTTTAATTCAAATATTTTAAATCCAATTTAGAAAAATATGGATTGACTCATGAGTTAATCCACCGGATGGTTTTATATTCATTCCCATAGTTTTGTATATGTTATGTTTGCCAGACATTAAATATAATAAGCAGAAACATCTCTCTCTCTTTCCTTTCTTCTAGTTCAATCCCCACTAACACTCACAATCAAATAACCGAAAGGAGAGGAAAAGAAAAGAGCCCCCGTCAATCATCGGTGAACCCTCCGTCGGAATCCGAAGCTCTCTGCGACAAAATACATGGATGAGAAGTGGAAGATCTCCAAGAAAGAGATCTCAGCTTCGTCATCATCATCTTCTTCCTCCAAATCAAAGTTCACAAGGAGCTTCTCCACGAGCGCTTCCTCGACCAAGTCACCTGTGTTTGTGCGGAGCTCCTCCACGAAATGCCCGGTCCCTTCCTCGTCGAATTCGTCTGCTTCGATGTCGAGAAGCTTGTCGAGGAAAGAGAGCGGATCTTCCATTACTCAGAAGTATAGCAGCTTGGCCAAAGAACAGAAGGCGAGGTTTTACATCATGAGAAGGTGTGTGGCTATGCTTGTTTGCTGGCATAAACATGGAGATTCCTAGATCAGATTCTTTTTTTTTTGGTGGGCTTCTTGTAATTAGGTCAGTTTGATTATTGAGGTGGGTACAAGTTTCCATGGTACATTGTAAGAAGCGATTTTTACTGAAACATTTAGGGTTCCTATGCCCTTTTTTTTGTCTCTAAATGCTAATTATTCCATTTTAATTTCACGGAATACCAAACTGAAACATCCCAAAATCACAATTTTCATAGTTTTAGGCGTTTAGTGGGTTTGAGCGAAATTAACAATTTTAGGGTAAACGCTTCAAATTATAAAACTTAATTAGGTTAAACCCGAGTTTAACAAACTAAACCAAGTTTTAGAAAAAAAATTATTAGAAGAAGCGAAGAGAAGGCTTCAGACCTTTTTATCTCTTCTTCCCCGGCCGGCGCCGTCGAGCTCATTTCTTTACCGCCGACAGCCGCTTTTCTTGTAATTTCGGACATTGTTGAATGATTTTTCGCCACCTTCCTGTCGTTTCTGTTTCGTAATCTCTCTCGGAGGTCAGCCGGGCACTGTGCTTTGAAGGTTCATGGCATGATGACGAACTCGCTCGTGGCCGGTGGGGTTGGCCACCGACTACATAGAAGCGTGAATTCTTTCCCTCTAGGTTAAAGTTAATTAGCTCATCTCTTCTGACTAAATAAATATTATAATCGGATTCCGTACAATTTTATGGATTTAAAGCTGCGTACTTTGATGGTTTCCCCCGATAAACTAATGGAAAAATTGTCGACAAATTAGAACTAAAGACATAAATCGCTCGTTGTGTTATTAGATACTAAGAACAAAGTTACGTTGTGTCCTATAAAACATTCGGTCAGAGATAATCAAAACATATATATCCAAGAATACTTATGTGATGTTATATTTCACATGTTAATTGTACATGCTAATTGAAGATCATCGAGGGCATGATGATTGTTTGCTTTTGAAATTTTAAGATATGATGGTTTTATTATTATTATTATTATTATGATTAGGCATGCTATACATATATTAATATATGTATATTCATATATGAAGAATTACCATGCCTCCTATTGTTATTGGATTGAATAAAGAAAACAATTTTTTCGGTAACCTCTAAACCGGTCGGAAGTTCTGAACTGGACGTTACACATCATATTAAAAAAAAAAAAGGGGATTGGAAACTTATTTATTTTGTGGGGCAGCAGAAAATTGAAAATATTAAAATACTCAAGTGGAATGTTATGATACAATATCTGATTAATAAAGACGCATTTTTGTTATGATATGATTATATAATGGTCACTTTCAATGTCTCTGGAAAATATATGTAATTAACCATCGGCCGACCAAACCAGCTTTTATGTCATTTATTTTTTTTACTTTGTGTTTTAACTATATATACATGATTTACAGATACATATCTATGATTATTATTAACGCAGCCCTCGTGGCACAACTTTTTCGTTATTTTAAGGTGGTAATTAAGGATTTACATCTAACAGATTAGACTTCAATTAAACCCATTTTTGAAAAACGACATGCAGTTGTATTATAAAGTATAATCACCCAATATAATGACTGGATACACATAATGATAGTAATAATGTGGTCAATAAAGTTGCATTATTTATTTATTTATATGCAATTTCTGTGGCAGTATTTGGTGGCAGTATTGTTTCTGTTTGCTTTCTTGTTTTTTTTCTTGTCTCTTTGATGGAAGAAAGATTCCCTTCTTTGTAAACGTCAATGGTTTTTTTTTTTTGAACGGATTTTTTGGGCCGATATTCAAATTAATCCCGGGATCGAGAACCAGTCACGTGATTTAAATTATGCGCTCTCTTCCCAGCATGGTGTTTAAACTCGGGATGAGATAAACGTTTTGTATCCCCGTTTCACCGGTCGAACTACTCTTAAATTGTAAACATCGATGTTCTATTACTATATATTGTATACAATGGTACTTATATAAACTATTCTGCATTATTTCAGGGGAAAACTTCGAAAATTAGGGAATCCAATGGATAATCTATCGATCATCCTTTTTAAAAATTTGATGATGATATATATTTGAGAAACAATATTATGGGAAATGTTACAGAATCTTATATTACCGTCATGATCAATGAAAAGATTGAGTTTTTTAATTTAATCAAATAAAATAGCAACAGTTTACGTTAAAGAGTTCTAATAATTTTGAAAGCCGTAAACAAAATACTATCTTTTATTCGATGCCAAAAAACAAATACCGAACAGAAAAATTATCACTGCAACAAAGCTGTTTCTGTTTACTTTCTTACGAAACGAAATAATAAAAAAAACGAAAAAAAAAAAACAAAACAGAAGCAAAATTCAGATTTCTCAGGTGAAAAACAAACACAAGTAGGGAGGAGGAGAAAACACATGGTGACGTGGCGAGGGAGAAGCCGTTCGATTAGTCAAAGTCAACATTTTGGGAAATCGGACGGTGGAGGCGGAAGTTTCTGATTCGGAAGGTCTCCATCCAATACCAACCAAGCCATCGTCATTCCCCAACTCAGATGAATTTCGATGTGGCAATGCATCAGCCACACCCCTACCATCCAAAAAATAACATAAACACATAAAGATTATCAAATCGATTCTTAAAAATATAAAAAACCGCGGAAGTTCGTATTTTTATTGGTAAATATCCCATAGAATATCAAATCTCACGCGTACCGGGATTATCCGCTCGGAAACGGACGGCGACCCAACCGCCGGCGGGGACAAAGGCGGTGTTGCGTTCGACCGGGTCGAGGAGATTGAACCGTTTCGGGTCACGGGTCGGGTCGAAATTGCCGAAGCCTTGACCCACGACGTAGAAGTCGAACCCGTGGAGGTGCATAGGGTGTGATTCAGAACCCAAAATGCTCGTGTCTTGCAACACCAACTCCACTGTCGTGTTGTACTTCAACACCACGAGTTTTGTTCCGTTCATTACCATCGTGTTGTTCGGTGGCATCCCAGTGTAATTAAACTCAAATATAGGGGCATTTGGGAAATCCGTCGTGAACACTCCGTTTGACTTGCCAAAGAAATATGACTGCAACAACGACGTCGTGTTCGGTAACACGAACGATACGTTGTTCATGGACGCCGAGAACATTGTCCCGTTTGGTCCTTGGCAAGTTTGGTTTTCCGGACAAGGGTTTGTCCCTAAACCGACCGTGAACAAGAATTTTCTATCGACGGTTTTCGGCACGTCTATAGGGAATCTAGGGCTCGCTAGACTTCTAAACATATTGGTAAAATTCGATACGAAGGACGTGGCATTGATGGGAGGGAGCGTGGGCATGAGAACGGGTTTCGTTTTGAGAGAATTCGAACCATTGCATCTAAGATTCTGTTTGTATTCGAGGATTCCGGCCACGGTCGTGTTGTCGATAGTGCCTTGGCCGACGAAGTAAGTCCTTGCAAGCATGAAGAATGTCGCGTTCGGAGAAACACGTTTGGTCCTAAGCAGTACGTTTGTGGTCTGCCCCGGTCCGATGACTAGAACATCGGTTTGGAAGGGCTTAACGTAGCTGGCGTCGGCTTCGACAACTGTCAGCGTGTGATTGGCTATGCTGAAGAAGAGTTCGTCATTGAGGGCAGCATTGATCAACCTGAGGAGATACGTTTTTCTAGGCTTCACCTTCAACTTGTATGTATCTATACATAGACAAAAAAAAATGAAGATATTGTAATTGTTTAACAAAGTATATATATATATATAGTATGTTAGTTTTGGAACGAGAGCCTTGTCACCATTTGTGGAGCAGTTGTATAATGGGCCTGGAAGCCCATTTATGGTGTGGGCATCAGAAGCATTTGGGCCTGCTCCGGTCTGAAGAGCTTGCTGAAGCACTGCCTGAGGATCAGCATTGAACCATTCCCCTACACGCACACAATCGTAACACAATTTTCAATCTAAAGATCCCTAATCACTAGGAAAATTTCTGGTCGGCCCCGCAATTCGAAAAAGCTTATTCCTTTTGGATCTTTTCAAGTTCTTTTTGTATGCAACAATCCGTTGATGATAACGATATATCATAAATAGATTGTATGGAGTGATGGATGATGACAAACAAGTGGGCTATTTCTTTGCAAAATTGTGCTCAATTTCATATGTGGCAATTCCACCAAGATCTCTAAGAGTCATTGAGTTTTGGAAGGATGATCAAAGGTCCATAGACAGTGGCTCTGATCCATGTGATGTGAGCATGCCACCACAGTGTCCCTCGCTGCCCTGTGACCGTGAAGTTGTACACATAACTTTGTCCTGTCTGAATCGGACACTGTGTTATATAGGCTGGTCCGTCCGCCCACCCACTCCTCAGTTGTCTGATCCCGTGCCTACATCCATTCGCCAAGATATAAGAATCATCTACGTGAATTGGTTCGGCAGTAAATTCAGAATGATCTCTCTAACAAATTCTTCTTCTATATAATCGATTCTTGATCTGTCTAGAAACCCTTTTCACGCAATTTTTTTAACTGTAAACTCGGATTAATGTTAGACCAAAAGGATATAACTTTTGCAGTGTTGTCGATTATATCATCATATGTTAGGGTATTCATTACCAGTGGATGGAGATGTTGGTGGAGACATGATTAACCACCTTGATCAATAGATTATCTCCTTCTCTTGCAATAACCCTAGGCCCTGGGAATTCCCCGTTCACCGTCAAGATCGATCTTGTCTTGCACAATCTTGTCACGTTCTTCAGCTGAATCTGCCCAATCAGAGAATCAAAACACAAAAACTATAACGCAAATCACTGTTCGTTTGCGGGAAACGATGTTTTAATTTGATTGCGTGATTACTTACGTTGAACTTGTAGTGTCTGGTGATCCCTGCAGATTCTACATTTGCATTGTAGTGTATGGCCATAAGAAATGTCACTAGAACATAACGCAACAAAACCCACGTCTCCATGTATACAATATATTTTTATGTAAAAAACGTAAAATAATTTTTTTTATATATGTATTTATGAAATCAGAAACTCCTTTTTTTTTTTATATCTGTTTATGAAAAAAGATATCTGAAACGGTGCATGTGAAACGACTGGAGAGTGTTGTGTATATATAGAGGCAGAGAAACCGCATGGTAGGGCTATCGGTTGGTTGGTCTTGTAAAATATTTTAATGATTAAAATGATCATAGAATAAAGTTTCTGCGTTAGAGGAATGAGATAATTATTCAGTCTAGTTGATGTCGTAGACTAGCCGGTCCATTTGTTTGCGCTAACCGAGTGAACTCGAAATTAACTAATTAAGTCGGTTTCTAATATTAATGCAGATTGATTCCTTATTGTATATATATAATGCAATATATCAATATTTAACGATGGACCGCCACCGCGAGTTTTTGTATTTTCATGTTACCTTGTGCTGTTTATATCTTATGCAAAACAAAACACGTAAGGGTGAGTTAATCGACATGGACTATTTTAATGAAATGCATGGTATAAATTGAGTTTTCCCCTTTACTATGAATTAAATTTTTTTTTTCTTTGGTAGAGATAACCAGTGAATAAGAAAAAAAAAAGGTAAAATTAAATAAGGTAATTATAGTAATTAAGGTAAGAATTAGTAGCAAAGGGACGATTAAATTTTCATAGAACATGCATGTTGGTTGTCATGAAAACATATATTCCAACTAAAAAATGTGGCCTTTTGTGTGTGTGTGTACGTGTGTGTATATATATATATATATACACGAAGTTAACACTCCAAAGTCTCGTGCTCGATTCTCCTTGTTGACATTTTAACCACTCACCCATTCCTTTCGAGCAACAAAGGACAAGGATCAACAGATCGTGATTAGTTAACCTTAATTATTCTACAAATTAACTATTTAATCTAGAAACCTTCTAAATCCGATGTAGTTACAGATAGTGCGCGGTGATCTTTGCTCGGAATTACGATGATTTTACACGAAAAAACGACAATATATTCGGCATAAACACACACATATATATATAAACGATATTTCCTCGTGTACTTAAATGATATATACGTGTTGTGGATCCTTCTATACATGGTTTTGGGACACAGTAATATCAACATGGCCGTCTCAACTTTTTTGGAGGTCCTGTACATTATACAAAATTATATCGATAAAAACTATAAATTTATATAATAAAAATAATATTATTTAAAATATTTAATAAAAATAGATAAATTAATATAATAAAAAATTATTAATAAAATTAATAATGATTTTAAAAATCATTAAGTTTTATAATAAAAATTATTTAAATATAATCAATAAATTTTGTAACGTTTTTCTTTATTAATGACAAGAATAATATTTTTTTTTTTTAAATCCATAAATTTAGGTTTTTTAAAATAAATACAATTCATTTTCAATTTTTAAAGAATTTTTTAATTATTATTGATATATTTCAACAATTATAAAATCAATTTAATTAATAAAAATTTTACATTATAAGTAATTTATATAATATCATATTTATTTGTACAATAATATAATGTATAATAATTATATCAAAAAATTGATTGGAGTAATGATTTTTAAAATGGAATCCATTTGATGTCCCCCCACCTTCCATAGGCATTTTGGGAGAGTAGTCTCCTTTCTTTCTTCGATCAATCAATGTTAAATTAAAACGATATTCTTCAAATTTATATTTATTATTACAATAATATATAATTAATATTAATAAATAGCTTTAAAAATGGGATCCCCAAATTTATGGGGCCCTATTCCGATGCACCTTCTACACTTGCTAATAGACGACCCTTATATCAACCTATGAAAATAAATAAATGATTACAATTAAAAATCGAACGTCTAACTTTTGGTCCCATCTATCGTTTAGGTGTCCATGCATGTATATGGCGCATGTCATATGGATTTATAATATCGATACTATATGGTATAGTTTGGATCAAGGAAAGTTTTTACCGTGTTAGTCATTAAAATGAAATATAGATAATATCGATAGTTATACAACTCATATAAATTTTAAACCGAATCGAATAAAACCTAACTCTATGATACTATCAAATATTGTTTTTTAAATATACCAAAAATAGGAGGCAAGTAGGTTGAAGAGTGGTGTGTTGTTTCTGAAAGCGGCAAAAAGGGAAGCACCAAACTTAGGCACCAAGTGAAGAACATAAAAAGCCACGGGTTCTGTGGATTAAGACCACAACTTTGGTAATTGAAAGATCGTTATCATTGATATTATTGTTAGTTGTAGGTTTACCAACTTCAACCCTTCTTCTTAACTGCTATCATATATATTAATTAATCTTCCAAATGATGATATATATATATATACATAAATAATATCTATTATTGATATATACCCGATGAGATTAATTATGTTAATTATATGGACCGATATTAATATGTATGGCATTGACCAATGCCGGTTGGCAATGATGAACGTAAATAATCGGTTTACAAATGAAAAGAATGATTTGATCGACATTCTACAGGATAAAATCAGAATCATCAATTTTTGGTATATTTGAAATCCCAAATCAATTTTGGTTCGAAAGATTTTTATTTCATACCGATTGCCGAGTTTAATGGGCCTTAACAAATCTGGCTCAAAATGGGCTCATGTGGAAACCCAAAATAAAGCCCACGTATACACAACATATATACCCAAGTATTAATCCTCATGATACAATCGCACCCATTGATTTGGGCTTTTGAACTATTTAGGGTTTTTAATCACGAGCAACATGGAGTTTGAAAATTGGTGAAATCTTCGCGGGCGAAGACAATATTTGGGATTCTCCGTAGGTAGATAATGAATTTGAGTTTTGCTTAAAGTTTTGATCTTTCCTTGGTTCCTATTGAGAATAATCGAGTATTGTACGTATTGCGATACAAAGTCTGGTCTTTTAGGATTGTATAGAGTTTAGCGTCCGATCTCAGGGCCTGGGTAGTGATTGTTTTTCGTTTTCCGATTCAAGTATAATCGGGAAGGCGTTCATATCAATCTTGGAATTTTCTGGTTAGGTTATGTTACCCGAAGTTGGAAGAAGACCGATGCTGGGTGGGAGAACGAGGGTTCTTCGTTCGGGGATGAGTTTTGAGGACGAGATAGGAGTTTTGCTCCGAAAAACAATGGAAGGCAAGAAGCCGACGATTGGAAATAGGGGAAAGGTTAATGGGGCTGGTTGTAATAGTAACACTGTAACAGTGGGCATCGATCATTGTTCTCTGTCTCCTGGGTTTGAGCCTAGAAAGCAGGAGAACCGCGATTTTGGGCCTGAGAATGTTAGTGGTTCTCACTCGGTATCTCTTGTTTGTCAATTTTGGATTTTGCTGCTTAACCAGTTTTAACCTAGTTGCTTCCGGTTGCTTCTGATTGATATTCTGAGGCTGTTCTCACCTTTTTTACCTGTTTGATAATATGTTTGTTTGCGTTTTATTTATTGTTCATGATTGCTGGATGGTATGCATGTAGCTTACTACTACTTTTGAGCTTCTTGAACAGATACATGCATTGTCTATTTCTACAGTTCTTTGAGCATGGACTCCCATCACAGAGGAGAGAATTAGCAGAGAAGCTCTTTACTAACATTCTGCCGCTTAGCTTACAGATGTATGCTTGCCATGTTATCCAGAAGGTACAGTTTGCTTGGTACCTTTTTTTTGTTATCTGTCTTTTTTTTTTGCGTCTTTTAAACATCGAAGCACTTAAGATTTTGTCCTTGGTTCTGCCTGCTTTTTTAGGCGATTGAGGTTGTTGATTTGGATCAGAAAATTAAGATGGTGATGGACATGTAACGCGATATGTCTGTGATCAGAATGGGAACCATGTGATTCAGAAGTGCATCAAATGCATGCCTGAAGAGAATATTCGATTTATTGTCTCGACCTTCTTTGGTCAAGTTGTGACCCTCTCCACTCACCCATATGGATGTCGCGTTGTTCAGGCTTTACCTTCTGTATTATGTTATATTTTGTTGTATATGTTATATTTACATTTTTATGCCCTTACGCTAAAATGCGGGAACTGCTCCTGAATGAGATGCTGGGCACGAGAATGAGTCTCTTCAGGTTTGTCAGTTATGACTACCGTAATTGCTAGAGAGGGAAAGGAACCAAAAAAAAAAAATCTGAACTCTCTCCTCATGCCCCTTTGCTTTTCTTTGCAGGCGATGATGAAGGATCGGTTTGAAAAAAACATATGATGATCAACAGTGTGAATTGATGCTTTCTCGTATAAAAGTACACATACGGATAGCATATCGTTGCTCGTGTTGAAAAACTCATTGCTGCTGGAGGTACATTTCTTATTTCCTTGTGTTTGATAGACACATAGATCTATATTCCCATTCGAGTGCATGCCCATAAGGCTTTTGTGGAAACCCTTTTCTCGTAAATCTCTCATAGAACCCTGCAGGATCTTCCTCAGTAAATTCTCCGAGTTTAGTGTGAAAAGTGATTCTCAGATAAATCTTTCATTGCCCAAGAATCTTGGGCCAAGATATCTTTTTAAGGTGGTCAAAAGTGTTTCTAATGGCTGAACGTTTTCTGCAGAGAGGAGAATGGCTGCACAGAGTCCATGAACCAGGCTCAGTTGGCATAAGGCCTCAAAGACTTGTACAGCTAACTTACAGTAGATGGCCACTGCTGTCGTGTTTCGGATTAGGTAAGAGCTAAACAAAAATGTTGGGACAGTTTATAAACCAGAAACAAAGTTTGTTGCTTTGTTCTGCCGAAATCTGTACATTGTGTAGTTTCTTAAGGTTTTACCAGACATAGAGGCCAACAAAATCCACCCTTTGAAGAACTAGATGGGTTATATGCCGTGGTGTAAAGATGGGTTGAGAATGGGGAGCTTAGGTGTTTTCCTTTTCACATGTTACATGTACAAAGACTGGTTAATGCTGATCTGGTGGTCGTGCTTTTTGGTCTGAGGGCGGTTAGGGTGCTAATCCCTGTATCATATTTCATGAGTATAATCCATTTCAAGAGCACAATTTCTGTTTCTGTGTTCGTATAATGTATATGCATGCTTTGTCAGTTTAGTTGTTTGTCGTGCAAGAAACTCAGGATATTGGAAAACAGGGGCAAGTTTTGCAGAGAGTTACCAAAAGATCATTCTTGAATCTCGCATTGTTAAACAAATGGAACTTAAATTGTCTCATGGAAGACTGTCTTCGTAGTCGTCTTCAATCTTCTGTCCGAAACCTCTTGGTCCAGCTTTGGCCCTCGTTGCCTTCTTCTTCCCACCTTTCTTGGATTTCCTAGCTGCCTCTTCCTTCTCAAACTTCTCTCTTTCTCTTTTCTCTAGGAATTCACTCACTCCGATGTAGATAACCTGTTTTGCCATATATCTTGTCAGAATCTGGAAAAGGAATCCATGGCTGAAGAGAACAGCCGTGAGCAAGTTTGGTTTCTCACTGTTTCTAGTTTGGTTCGATGTTTTGTCGTGCCTCGTGTGGAAGACAAAACGATCTAGCGAGAAATTTACAAGAGAAAACCCCAACCTGTGATCAGGTTTTTGCCCAGAAGCAATCTAGTTGCAGTTCAGTGAAATGTGTAGAGCCAACAAAGATTCACACGGAAAAGGACTAACTAATGCGTGGGACAGTGGAAACAATGCAGGTTGTGGATAATACTCTTCGTTCAAGCTGTAATCACTATCTTCAGGTGCTTTCTTAAGATAGAAAGATACATATGGAAAAAGGATGGGTATGATAGGCCATTGGATGAGAACTTACACCAATGGTGAGAATAGAGAGAGCAGCAAAAGCGAAAAAGAGAAGCACTTGTACAACCACGGCAACACCATCTTCACCACCGGACACAGCAGCAGCAGCCGCAGCAGCCGCA